ATATATATATATATATATATATATATATATATATATATATAAATACACATATATATATATATATAAAATATTAGATTGTATATCAATGCATTTCCTTTTGATAAAGGTAACGACGCCTTATTTTTGAATATTACATTGCATGTTTGTGGTCAAGTAAAAATTCTGAAAAACAATTTCCTTGATTTTTGATGTCAAAAAGTCCACAAATTTATGATCGTTTCAACGTACTAATTAACAGACACAACTATTTAATAAAATTAAGCAGAGAACTAGCTGAAATAATTAATTTTGTTTTACTGATAGAATTTTTTCTGATCACTATACTTTTATGCGTATTAGGTGAATATTGTATTACTCATAACATCTATAAAAATAGAATTGTATAAATCGTTATAAAAACTTCTATTAATCAAATTAATTTTTTTTCAGGATTTCAATTTATTTTAGCACTAAAAGTAAACAACATTATAGTGATGACAAAAAGTTTAATGGTACAGATTACATTTTTATTACAATTAACTTTATACTGTAGTATTGGAAATTATTTAATATCTCAAATGGAAGAAATAAGACTTGCAGTATACCAAAGCGCTTGGTATTATTTTCCTGCGAAATTGACAAGACATTTAATCTTCATTATTATGCGCTCAGATTCTCCAGTCTCGTTGCAAGCTGGAAATTTTATCGTGGTAAATCTAGCAACATGTATAAGCATCATAAAAGCATCTCTTTCATATTTATCTGTACTTCGTGTACTAGTAGAAACGTGAGATATATCGCACATAATAATAAAACTAACGATAAATTAAAAATTATAATCATAAATTATAAATATGTGATTTAAACAAAGGATTTGGATGTATAAAAAGTATTCAATAAAAATTTTGTAATAAAATTGCTGATCATGAATACTAAACGTCTGTTTCATACTAATTTTTCATACATTATTAACAATATGATTTTAGTAAACTTATTATTATTTCATTAATGTAACAAAATTAAAAAAATTCCTATAATACAGAATTATTTATATTTTGTAACGTGAATTCTTCTTTTAATTTACGAATCCTGTTAGTCTGTAAAATAAAAAACAAAACAAATCTTTGAAATTATGCATTTTAATATATAGACAGATTAATTTATACTATTTAATTTATATTATTTAATCGAAAAAATATATATTCAATTAAAATAAGACGTAAAACAATCGAAGTTCATATAGTAAACAAAATATATGTAAAGTTTTATCTGATCATTCATACAATAAAAAAAGGTTGACATGGATGACTATATGGAAAAAGTAGTCATGCAAATTCCTGTGCATATAAATTTTGTTAAAAAATACAATTCTCTATTTTAATGTAATATGTTAAGAATACGGAGATAGAATGATAAGTGATTATTTTAAACTGAATAAAATAATATTTCGATTCATATTTAATACAAATATTTCTATTGTCTAACTAGTATAATAATATTAATATTATTAAAGTGTAAAAACTTTTTAAATAATTTGTAAAAACTTTTCAGATAATTTGATGAGGTATGAGACAAGTATAAAATCGAAATAAGGTCATTATACCTACGTATCAAATGCATTATCAGTCATTGGTATCAGTTACAGTCATTATACATCGACTTGATGGGGAGTGAATAATGGAAGAATGATGTCGCATACGCAATGACCCCTTTTAAATTAATAACATGGCGTCTGGCCACTTCAAGTTTATAACATTTATTCGCTAATATAATGTGCTTTTACTACCTATTGTGCGGTATGCATTTCATGAATTCAGTCTAGATGATCATCGGCCGGACGGTCGTTTGAAGATAATCAATTCCTACATTGATATTTTCAAAACATATCAATAGGCCTTCGTGATCGCCATGCCTTCCTTCGAGTTTTATTTGGGCTGTACTGATGCGAAGAGAAACGTAGATTGTCTTATGTTAGTTTGTTGTGGAATACTTGGTATGGTGAAGACAGTATGGTTCCGTATTTATGCAAGAAATTTGGTTAACAAATACGGTTCTGCCATGACTGATTACTTGACGATTGAAAACACAGAAGAACGTGCCATTATGCGGAAATATACTTTCGTAGAAAGGTTTCTCTGCTGTTCATTAATATCTTTCCCTTACGTTAGTTGTATAATATATGTGTTAATCCCTTTTCTGGATAATAAAACAGGTAATTGAACAGGTTAAACGTTAACGTTAATACGTTAACGTAACGAATGAAAATGTCATGCTGGAATATCCAATGCCATCAAAATGTGCTATGAAATATTTTAATGCTCCAGTGAGTATGTATAGAATGTATCTTCTGTTTCATGGAGTCTATCACATTACTTTTAATATAATACAGCTAATACAGCTAATCTAGGTAATATTTACTTCTTATTTGATATGTGTAATTTTATTAATATATTTAAAAGCTCTGTCAATTTTTATTACACAATGCATTTATACATATATATTTATACATATATATTTATTTCATACATGGGAAACTTCTATTTTTATTATTTTTATTATTTCTATTATTATTATTGCAAATATTTCTGTTGTTTACTTAATACAGATAACATTTTCAAACTGCAAGAAATTTTTAATTTTATTCATTTCATTCATTTTTTATTCTTTTAAATAGATTATGATAAGCGTTTATTATAAATAAATAATTTTCCTCTCAATTTTCTATGTGTCATATACATA